AGCTGCGACGGAAAAAGTGCGGTCTGTTCTTTGTTGCTGGGTGCCAAAGGTTGTCCGGTTACCTCAGTTATCGAGCATATTTGGTCATGGAAATACGCATAAGAATAGGCCGTATGAGTGATTTTAAGATTTGTCTGTAATCTTGATGTTTGACAATTTTGAGACTTTCCATATGCAGCACTTAATTGGGTGGTTGATGCTAGTTTTACGGCTTGCTACGGAGTAGAGAGAAAGTTTTGTAATGTTGCGCGGAAAACTGCGAATTTTCGGTCTTATTACCGGACCATGGTAACGAAAGAATGGATAAATACAGTTGCTAAATTCCAGAAAAGAAAATTCTCAATCACGTGGTTTATCCTTGTTTTGTAGGTCCTTCTTACAGAAATATCAAATGATGGCAAAACGTCTGTCCGTGCGTGTGTGAACAACGCTAGCGGCTAAACCGTTCAGCCGATTTTCTCCTAAATTGATATTCCTCTGTTGATTTGACTGATGTCGTGCTCCCTTAAATTTGAAACCGATATTTTAATTCTTGGGGAATACATTACATAAAGCCCTGGGACATTTTCTAAATTTTCAAAGAAATGGCTCCATCTTTTTTTTGTTAAATTTTTCTTGGATAGTGTAAAGGACGTTTAAAATAATAGTGCTGGTCTCATGTTCGTTAAAATTCCTCAGTTTTCAAAAATGGCAAAAGTTCAAAATTTTTTCGGCGTCTTCCTACACCTGAAATATCAAATATAGCGATTTTTCCTTCAATGACATCTGTTCCTTAAAGATAGATTTTGAAATAAGATTAGGTACAATTTTTCGAAAATTTGAGTACTCTTCGCTTAATTTTGCGTGAAAGTATGGGGGAAAGAGTGCGTGCTGTTTTAACATCACTAGTTCCGAATTCGAACATCTCATATTTGAAACCACCAGGGAAGGTTAGAGGCTTGAAATTCACTGTTGTAATATAAATGTTTGAAATTGATTTTATGGAATACTCGCTTGAAAACCTGCAAATCTGCTATAATATATGGAAGCATATTTTGTGTATCATTAGACCGGTGTATTGAGAGAATAATTCGATATTGGAAGAACGATGAATTCTTATTATGAAAATGTTCTGTGTTGGAATGGATTTCATTGAGTACTTTAATGTGTAAATGTGTATTTTCTCGTATAGTGAAAATATGGGAAACAAAATTTCGGTACTAGTAGTCCGGTGTATTGAAAAAATAATTCAGATATTTGAAGGTTATCATTAAAATACAGTGATCTGTGTTGCATCATGCGTATTGCTGCATCATGCTTTTTATTGATAACTTCGTAATGGAAATCTTGTAAATTTTGTTGAGGTATTTGCAATATAAGGCAATGAATTTTCGGTACCAAAATACCGGAGTACTGGTAAGTACTTATATATATATATATATTGGAAGCTTTGAAGCTGGATAATTGAAGGTATTGAATTATAATGGTGTTCTGCGACGAGTGGATTTTATTGATCGCTCCCTAATGGAAATCCCGTTAATGTTTTCGGTAGTTTGGAGCTTAAGGAAACGAATTTGTCAGTACACGGACTGAAAAACGTCTGTATATTATAAGAAAAGTGGCAGTATATTGTTCGCATCCTTAGCCCTAGGGACTTCGTTGGATATAGCCGTTGAATTAAGAATTCCGATATTTGAAGAAGTGTTGTCGTATTGAAGTATATTGGTGTTGTGTGTTTTGAGATGAATTTTGATTGTTTCATATTGGAAATGCTGTTAAAGTTTCCGACGCATTGCAACGTACGGAAACAAGGAAGCTCGGTGCGCATATGCCGAATGTATTGCGAGCAAAGTGGGAGGCGGCGTGCGGCTGGCATCGTCGGCCCTGGCGC